GCTGAGGAACTCTGGGAGTTGAAGTCCACAAGTCTTAAAGTTGCCAAGGTTGGACACCCCTGCTCTAAACTCTGACAGCCCTGATGGTGTACTGGTTAGAATGCAGTATTGCGGGCAAACTCTGCCCACAGTCTGGAGTTCAATCCTGACAGGGCTCAAGGTTAACTCAGCCTTCCATCCTTCTGAGGTCAGTAAAATGAGGAGCCAGATTGTTGGAGGCAATATGCAAATGCATTGTAAACTCTCCAAACAGTGCTATAAAGCATTATGGAGGTTATATAAGTCTAAATTCTATTGCTAAGTGCTATTGCTATACTTCCATTGAGATCCTGGGCAGTAATTAATCTTAGCTAGATTAGGAAGTGATCCAATCCAAGTAAAGGGTAAAAGTAATGCCCTCCATATTTATTCAGTTAAACAGAGATCTAGCATACGACCATTTGGATATGCTGGATTAGAAATCACTTGTAACAAGCCACTTTTATAATGGAGACAATGAATTCCATGGCTTTCCCAGATTTATGCCACAGTTACACAGTAGAATCATTCAATATTGAAAACTATGGTTATTCAAACCTGGAATCCAGATCAAGGAGGTCAGAGAATGAGCCAACCAGAAAGATATTTATTAAAATGGAGGTGTTCATTTCACGTCACATCCCCCATTGATGGTCTCAATGGCCTCTTCCAAATCTGATTCTAAACAGATATAAACATAAGATTAAATTATATATTTAATTATATTTTCTTTCAAAATCTAATTAAACATATAATTTTGAAAAGTAGGGACTGCCAAACTATTGTCTGCATAGAAATGGACTGTTGGAAGGGCGGTGATGTTTCCATACAGCAAAGGCTTGACAGGAGGCACAGCTGCACCAGGGTTTTCTTTGTACTCAAAATACATTAAGTTTTCCCTCCCTGCAGGTTTGATTGCCTAGTGTTCTAGATTCAAGTCACACTTTCAACTACCTTATTACAAAAGAAGTATCTGACGTCCCCATATGAGTAAAAATAACCATCTGCTTACATGAGAAATATAATAGGCTAATTCTGAGTGAAGGCCAATTCTATTTGTTTGTTTAATTTATTTACTTAAATCATTTATGTAGTTGCCCATCTCCCAACCAACTCTGGCCAACTTCCCATCAAAAGATTTGGAGCTTCGGGACAGAGTTCCAGCCACTGGGAATGAAGCATATTTCACTTGCATAGTCCTGTCCTGCTTCAGTGTCCTGATAAAAAGTTGTTTTAAAAAACTATTTGGAGGTGGAAAGTCATACATATGGTAGTCATGTTTTAAGGGCTATTAAACTGGAAAAAGTGTTGTCTTCTGGGATTAGAATAGCTATTTCTGTCTGAACTCTATAGTCTGAAATATCTTAACTTGTCTAGGGAGGGTTAATGTCTTGTTGTCATTAAAGTTGTCAGTGTTCCTGCTGCTGCCCGCCCCCCCCCCCCCCCCAACTCCCAGCACTACTATGTAGATCCAGCCGGCAGGCACTCCCATGTGCTTCTCCAGGCTCCTGACCTGACACACTGCCAGAAACAAGGAATTCACAGCTCAACTAACATCTAAAAAAGGAAAGGCAGACAACAAATCCAGAACACCCTTCCTGCTGCATAGAGGAGGGGGAAGGCGGGATGGGGAGAAAAGGGGAGAGCCAGCCAGCAATTGCCTGCCTCTCTGCTCCTCTCCAGCCCTGGCACCAAGAACTGTGTAGATGGAATTAGGATAAGCATGTGATAATGGTGCACAGTTGAGCAAATTAACTTTCCATTATCTCAGCTGCAGCCTCCTTCTCATCACAGAGGACAGACCTATTGTTGAGGACAAAGCCAAACCAGCCACATGACAAGATCCCTTGTTTCTTAAC